TGATCTCGTAATCACGAAACTTCTAAGTATCGGAGTGTAGTATCATTTTGACTTGCCTTATCTGTCTCATAGGTAGATGTGGCAGCTTCTCTGGAAGTACTCTTCCTCCATCCAGGGGTGGTATCTTTAACTGGTGGAGATGCACAAGGTAATGTATCAATTTCACTTGAAGCTTACTTGTAGTTTCAGGCTTGGTCCAGCGCGATACAAACCATGTAGTAGGAGTCCCCCAAGTCGCCGAGCTAGGGGATCTGCTGAAAGAGGTGACAAACAAGGTAAGCAATCAGAGCTCCAGCTGATTGTTCACCTTCTCCCCATCTTGCAGCAGCATGAAGGATAAAGAGAAGAAAAATGAGAAGAGATGATATGGGATACTTTTGCTTTTGAAGAAGTAACTTTCCACAGGCTTATTCTTGAACTGAGCTGGAGGGTTTTCTGGTTTCCTCCAAAGTATAAGGCCGACTGAAGAATTTGAGGGTCAAAACAAGTCCATCAAATCTAGAGTACGTTCGACCCTGCTGATATGGGATACTTTTGCTTTTGACAGCGTAATGGATGTATCGGCACGTGTGCTGTTACGCTTGTCTCCACATGCTTCCTTGTATCCTTCGCACTTGCCCTATCTGTTCCTCAAGCAGATGCGGTATCTTCCCTGGAAACATAAGATGTTGAAGATGAGTACTCGAGAGCAATGCCAGGTAAGTAATCAGGTAAGGGGTTCCAGGCAGTCAGTTCCTGGCTGGGAGCTTGATTTCAAGTGCTGACTGATTGCTCTCTTTCTCCTTGTCTTGCAGGTAAAAACAAGGTCAAAGGAAAAGACAGGGAAAAAGCATGATATGGGATACTCTTGCTTTTAACCCTGATGATATGAGATATTCTTGCTCTAGTATAGCTTGTTTGCAGAGGTATTATCGGGGGGAAAGAAAGCTGAATATTTCGAAAGGTTTCGTTGGGAGTGCCCTCTCAGATATGAGGAAGGGTTGAGCATTTTTGCAGGTCTGCCTGTCCGTTGGGGATGGAGGTCGACATATATAGGAGTCTCCCTAACAACAAGTAGTAATGTTATTCCTTTACCCTGCTTGGTCATAGCACGGTAGTGGGAGCTGCCAGCTTCACATGTTTTAACTCTGTCAGAGCACTTTGAAAAAGTGGTATGTGGTATCTGGCTCTCGAGATTCGGAGAACGATGCTTCTTCGATTTTTGAGAAAGCAATCATGCTGGGGGTCTGGCTCTCGAGATTCGGAGAGCAGTGTCTCTTCGATTTTTGAGAAAGTAATAATGTTGGGAGTCTGGCTCTCGAGATTCGGAGGGCGGTGCCTCTTCGATTTTTGGAGTAAGCAATCTTGTTGGGAGTGTTTTCTCGGATGTGAGTAAAGGTTGGGCATGTTTGCTAGTCTACCTTGCCACGAAGCACGAAGGTTGACACAAAGGGACTTTCCAATTATCCAGCAGTGGTACTGTTCCTTTACCCTTGTGGGTAATAATATGGTAGCTAGACCTTCAAAAATTTATGTGTCTAAACTTTGTTAGTGCTGTTTCTTTGCTATTCTTTTACCTTTCTTGGTCAGAGCGATGTAGTGAGAGCTGCAAGCTTCACGTGCTCAACTTTGGCAGAGACTTTGGCAAAGTTATATGTGGTACCCATGAGATATTGTTGCGTGTGGGAAGTGGGTGGTTGAACAGTAAGATTCATGTGCTTTCTACTTCACCAGAAGTCTTCGACAAAATGCCCATAATTTTCGCAAAGCTGAGTGTGCGTGTGACAGGTGCTGACAAGGCTAGAAAAGTAGGTGCCTCTTCGATTTCTGAGATCGGCCATCGTGGTCTCTGAGCAGCCCAGCTTTTGAGAAAGCGAGCGCCTCTTCGATTGATTCGGAGAACGATGCCTCTTCGATTTTTGAGAAAGCAATCATGCTGGGGGTCTGGCTCTCGAGATTCGGGGAGCAGTGTCTTTTCGATTTTTGAGAAAGTAATCATGTTGGAAGTCTGGCTCTCGAGATTCGGAGGGCGGTGCCTCTTCGATTTTGGAGCAAGCAATCTTGGTGGGAGTGTTTTCTCGAATGTGAGTAAAGGTTGGGCATGTTTGCTAGTCTACCTTGCCACGAAGCACAGAGGTTGACACACAGGGACTTTCCAATTATCCAGCAGTGGTACTGTTCCTTTACCCTCTCTTCGATTTTTTGAGAAAGTAGTCATGTTGGGAGTCTGGCTCTCGAGATTCGGAGGACGGTGCCTCTTCGATTTTGGAGCAAGCAATCTTATTGGGAGTGTTTTCTCGAATGTGAGTAAAGGTTGGGCATGTTTGCTAGTCTACCTTGCCACGAGGCACAGAGGTTGACACACAGGGACTTTCCAATTATCCAGCAGTGGTACTGTTCCTTTACCCTTGTGGGTAATAATATGGTAGCTAGACCTTCAAAATTTATGGGTCTAAACTTTGTTAGTGCTGTTTCTTTGCTATTCTTTTACCCTTCTTGGTCAGAGCGATGTAGTGGGAGCTGCAAGCTTCACGTGCTCAACTTTGGCAGAGAATTTTGGCAAAGTTATATGTGGTACCCATGAGCTATTGTTGCGTATGGGAAGTGGGTGATTGGACAGTAAGATTCATGTGTTTTCTACTTCCCCATAAATCTTCGACAGAATACCCATAATTTCCGCAAAGCTGAGTGTGCGTGTGACAGGTGCTGACAAGGCTGGAAAAGTAGGTGCCTCTTCGATTTCTGAGATCGGCCCTCGTGGTCTCTGAGGAGCCCAGCTTTTGAGAAAGCGAGCGCCTCTTCGATTTCTGAGATCGGCTTTCGTGGTCTTTGAGCAGCCCAACTTTTGAGAAAGCAAACACCTCTTCGATTTATGAGATCAACCCTCGTGGTCTCTAAGCAACCCAGCTTTTGAGAAAGCAAACGCCTCTTCGATTTCTGAGCAGACGCCTCTTCGATGTCCGAAGCTCCGTCGAGTGCAGCTTTTTATAGGGGCTGGCATTAAGTTCCAAAGCACACTTGAATCTCCACCAGTAGAAGCTCCATTCTTGCATTTCTAAGATCTTGATTTGTCCGACCTCTTCTCTCTTCAACACCTTTGAAAATGTCTGGCCCCTCCGACCGTCGTTTTGACTTGAACTTTTTTGAAGAGGCAGCCCCGCCTTCTCCAGACAACATATGGCGCCCATCCTTCGTTTCCCCTACTGGTCCTCTTACCGTTGGGGATTCCGTGATGAAGAATGATATGACCGCTGCGGTGGTGGCCAGGAACCTTCTCACTCCCAAAAATAACAGACTACTTTCCAAACGGTCTGATGAGTTAGCTGTTAAGGATTCGCTGGCTCTCAGTGTTCAGTGTGCAGGTTCTGTGTCTAATATGGCCCAACGCCTATTTGCTCGAACCCGCCAAGTTGAATCATTGGCGGCCGAAGTGATGAGTCTCAAACAGGAGATTAGAGGGCTCAAGCATGAGAATAAACAGTTGCACCGGCTCGCACATGACTATGCTACAAACATGAAGAGGAAGCTTGACCAGATGAAGGAAACTGATGGTCATGTTTTACTTGATCATCAGAGATTTGTGGGTTTGTTCCAGAGGCATTTATTGCCTTCGTCTTCTAGGGCTGTACCGCGTAATGAAGCTCCAAATGATCAACCTCTGATGCCTCCTCCTTCTAGGGTTCTGTCCAGTACTGAGGCTCCGAATGATCCCCCTCCGATGCCTTCTCTTTCTGGGGCTCTACCGACTGCTGAGACTTCTCCTAAGCAACCTTTGTGAAGGCTCCATCTTGTTTGTTTATTTTGACTCATGTATATGTACATATTTGTAGCTTATCGGGGATATCAATAAATAAGCTTTCCTTCATTTCAACGTATTGTGTTAAATACACCAAAGCCTTATTCGCTAAGTTCTTTGAATTTTCTTTTGTTGAAGCTTGTATGTTGAAGCTTTCTGAGTGGAGCATGTAGGTTGGGGTAGTGTTCCCTTAATTTTTCGAGTGAGGAAAACTTCTCGGTTGGAGACTTGGAAAATAACAATAGCATTATATCAACTACAATTAGAATAGCTTTCAAAAATTATTCAATAATAGCCCTCTTTGGCGAAATTAATACCTTTCACTTGGGTTATCCACATTGACAAAATATGAGCAACATATTAACGAATATCAATAACATGGCAACATATCAATGAATATCAACAACATTTGGACAACATATGGATACTTGATAAAAGGGATGTAGAGGGCTAGTACAGATTGAATTCATGAGGAGCACTAATTTTGAATTGCTGGCTTTGCAATAGGGTCCTTGAACCCAATTCCCCAGAATTTATGAGAAATAGGTGAATTATGGACTAGTTTAATTAGGAGGGGACGTGCTGCAAGCCTTTATTCCTTTACTATTTCATCCTTAATGTCATCTTTGCTTCCATCTCTGAGTGAGGAATGATACTACCTTTCAATTAGGTTGGCCGGGCTTCCTTTCATGTGTCAAAAAGAGCTTTTGACCTTGCACTGTATATTTATACAATTCTTTCTAGTTTTTTTTGTAAAGAAAATAAAATGAAACAGCTGCAGGTACTCTAGCTTCAGTGGAATAAGATAAGAATTTACATTTGTTGAAGTGAGTTGGATTCAATAGACATTAAGATGATGAGGTGCTGTTGAAATGATTCAGAAACTTGAGGCTGCTAAGCATATGGTCCTTTTTTTTAGATATATCTCTTTTAAAAACTTATAACGGCTATGCTAATTTGTCCCTCTCTAGAGAAATTTAACTTTTGTGTTTTCATGTAATAGAGTGAACATTTGTTCTTGCTTTTGGAATTATTATTTCAGTTTTGCAACTTGACTAATTATTGAGTGATCTGTAAAGCCCATGTCCCTTGAAACATTAAGCTGCTGTTAAGGCGCATTTGTTTTTTTTTTCAGAGAATGCAGTATATACACCAAACAAATAAGAGTGTGAATGTTTCAATAGGTGGAAGTTGAAAAAAAAGAAAAAGGACTCTAATTTGACCAATTGTTGCCTTGTAGGATCCATGCAGACAGCAGTGGGTGTTTTTGGGGGTGAAGCATACACAGACGGGATAGATGTACCTCCTCTAATGGTTGCAAATGCTGGAAACAGTGACCATCCTGCAATTTCAAGTCTAAACTCCCCACCATTTATAGCAGTGGAGCTTTGCCGGGAACATTTGGTATGTCATGTTAAAAATTAAAACTCTGTAACAGCTATGTAAGTGTTTGTATAGAAGGTACCAAAACACAGAGAGATGGAGTGGTTTGGGTAATTTTGACTCCACTCATGCAAACAATAAAATAAAACCTTGGGAAAAGGATTTGAGAATCCTGATTTCAGTAGTTATTTTTGCTTTGCAAATGGTTAACTTTACAACACACTCAGTATTATCTAAAAGAATTTTATTTTATTCTGACCTATTACCCTGTTAGGCAGTTAGATTTGAATATAAATTTGATACCCGATTCATACTACTATAATACAGAGCCTTTGAGCAGGCCCCCTTTTGCTCGTACAGAATTACAAACTTATGAGATATTTATTTTTTGAACATATTTTATTCATTAATTTTTCACATAAATTAATTAAAGTGGGTTTATTTGATTTCCTTCTTCACCCTTCACACAATCACTGGTTCTAATTGAACATCATGCTTAAATGTGTGTTTTCTCTTCTCCTGCAGGGTGTTCATCCATGTGACCAAAGGAGAAGCATTAGCGAGTATCGGCCTCTTTTTCCTGCAATTGATTTTTCACTGGCAAGTGACTTATTGCAATTACATTGAGAAAAGCTATGCCGTCATTTGACATGTCACTTTGGTTTTGGTTGCTTGTCTAACCATGAACTTTGATTGATTGGAATGTATTCTGGTTCACCTTTTGTTTAGATAGAGAATGAGGATGACATCTTGTGGACGCCTGACGTTAGAGAGTTAAATGAAGAAGTGGCAGCTAGGGGACTGAAGTTTTTGAACTGGTGATCTCTTAATTACTCTTAAGTTACATTGCATTTTTGGTAACGGGTTTCTTTATTATTCATCACCACGAAAAGAATCATTGAGGAAAAGTAAAAGTGAAAAGAAATCTATGGTGCAGAGGACAGGAGAATGATATCTAAATTTAACTAGGATGTCGTGCACAACATGAATTCTTTTATCGGTGCCTGTAGGAAAATTGTGTTGTGGGTATGCTATGCCAATTCATGGTCTTAAGGAGGTTTTAGCTTTTGCTGACTTGTAATCCAAGTTTTCTCCATAGTTCAATTATAAGTGTTATGATACACCTATCGGCTATCGTGCTGTTTTCTCACCTCAAGCAACTCAGGATTTAATTTATTCCAGAAATCTGTTTATAGTTGCTGGATGTGTTGCATGAGTTCATTGCATAGGTGTTGACCCAACTACCATTGCAACAAATTTTGTTAGCATCCTTCTGTTTCTGTCATGCATAGCAATCTTGCTTAGGCTTTTATCTTTATTCTACCGGGTAGAATCTTGCATAGCATCTGAACATTTAGCTTACATTTGTTTCATTGTCGTAGCTGACCACTTTCTGGAATAGATTGTAGTACTAATGTAATTGTTAGTTTACGATAAATCTAATAGTTCGTACTATTTCGTGAAGTTACTTGTTAATGATTTACTTTATAGGTTTCAGCTATTTTGACAATTGTTCTTGTATTGGCAATGTGGAAAGGTGTTAAAACTGTTAGTTGTTTCTTTTGCCGCTCTCAATTGGTCCAGGTTGTGGACTCGTAAAGAGAAAGACATTGCAATTGTTTCGCACAGTGGATTCTTGTTTCATACCTTGAGTGCTTTTGGAAATGATTGCCATCCGTCTATCAAGAGCGAAATATGCACTCAGTAAGTGTTATGGTGGTTGTTTTATCCCAACTTTTAATTCAAGAGCATGCACATTACATTCCACAACACAGGATAATGTTTATAATCGTATGTGTACAAAAATCGTTCTACCAGTGTCATATATTTATTCTCTAAACTAAGGAGAACGAGTCCCTTTTTTTTTTTTTTCTCTTTTTGATTTTTGGATGGATGCTAAGCTTAAGAGTGGAATTCTGTTTATGCAGCTTTGCTAATTGTGAGCTTCGTTCAGTGGTAATTGTCGATAGGAGGTGAGCTTCTTGTTCGTTAATTTTAACAGCGCGCACACACATCTAGCTTATGCGGAACTTTTAATAAATTGTCTTCCGCGTGAAGTTTGATGGGGTCTGATTCTTCAACAACTAATTATCCTGGGAAGATACCTCGGCGGGCCTGATCTTCCTAGTGACGTTGCCGATGAGAAGCATTCGGAGAAGGATGCTTCCAAGTAATTATAGCCAGTCCATGATGCTGGATGGATAGTCTTACATAAGTAATATGATTCTTCTGAAGCCCTGATTTTTCCGGGGCTGGTGGCTCATTTTTACACCGGAGACGGAAATTTAGTCGTTTTAAAAGGTTCGGGATAGACTCGGATAGTCTCGGGCTAACCCGAATATTGTTGATTGTTTTACAAGTTACTTGTTTTTTAGATCACACTTTTGTCTTCCTCGTCACATAGACACAAATAGCAGACGTTCTTTGATTGGAACATACTTATTTGTTAATGTCTTAAGCGATAGCTTGAAGGGCAAGGTTTATAGTATGCCCCAATGAAACTTGACAAGGTGAATACTTACGAGAACATTTGATAATGTTTTTTGTTTTTAATTTTTTGTTTTCATTGTTAAGAAAATGCAAACATGAAAACTTGTTGGTAACTCATTTTCCCTTTTTCGTCTTTCGATATTTTTTTTTTATTTAAAAAAGAATTTGTTTTTCTCCCAAAATTTTAACAACTTTCTATTTTAAAAAAAAAAAATTCATGACCGTTGGAATTGGAAGGACATGATTGTGCCACGCCTCATAGAGCTGTTGAAGTAGCCGTTCCGTGCGCAACTAACAATTGAGGCGGGCACCAAGCACATCTTTTTTGTCTAACCACTCGCCTCCTGTCAAGTGCATATCTTGTAAAAATAATAAATAAATAAAGAAACGTAGATTACATCGGCTAAAGCTGGCTATGCTTAGGGCTAGAATTGCCTATAAGAAACAACCATGGCTAGAAAGAAAATGAGTAGGGGGGTGTTTTGGAGTTGGTTTGACATCTTGTCACAACTAAAAATTATGAGTGAAAGTGCACCACTTAGGATTAATAATCGAAATTGTTTAGTTTATAAATTTGCATCTAAGAATTATCTCTAAAATAATTCAAGTTGCGTTATCTTTTGTTATTGTTTGATGACAAAATAATTTTGGATTTGATTTATGTGAAATTGTGAATTACACTGAAATAACATGAAGAGGGTAAAATTGATTTTAGGGTTTTACGCAGAAGAAAAATAGAGTGGAGAGGGAGTTGACCAGGTTTGACTCTGAAATTTGAAATTTGAAATCTATAAGCTCTTGAATCGACCGTTGAACCGCCTTATAGCGGCTATCTATCTGTCTTCCCTCCCAATGGTTCATTCTCTCTCTCATGCTCTCTGCAAACAGCGCCTGATCGATCGCTCTCTCTCCCTCCTCCTCTATGAATTCTGATCCTAAAGCCCTAAGCTCTCTCTCTCTCTCTCTCTCTCTCATTTTGTTGACTACTGATCTGAAACCCTAAACCCACTCTTTTATTCTGTTGAATTGATTTGGTTTTGTGAATTCGAATTTGAATCTTTTGTCGGAGGTTGCGGTGGTCCTTCGGAATTGGGAGGAAGAAAAAATGTGGGTTTTTTGATGCGAGAAATAGAATGATGTAGAGCTAGCATTCCCTTA